AATTTTACAAAAAAAGAGTCGAAGGTATTTATGTGAGAAAATCAACTTGCAAAGGCAGCAGTAGGATTTTGCTTCACGATAATGTACCTTCTCATCGAATTAATATTGTAATGGAATTTAAAACTAAACTCAAGAAATATTATAGACCATCCACCATATTTTTCTCATATGTATGCCTTCGTGTGACTTCTTTCCTTATGGCAAACTTAAATTTCCGTTACGAGGTACTCTTTTTGAGTCAATTGAGATCATAAAACCAACTTCTTGAAAGGAATTGAAGGCAGTGTTATATCTAAGGGAGCCTACTTCGAAGGCGACAAAATAAATGATATTATCAAATGAAAATTTAGAATTGAACCTAAAAGTATCCAATATATATTTCTGTAAATATTTTTTATACTTTAAACACATTGCCGGAAGCTTTATTCCAAGTCGTAGGGTTTGGGTTCCATCCTTGGCTCGAAAAAACATCTAAATTAGAAAAAGTTTTTTTCTAACAGCGGTCGCCTCTCGGCATGCAATGGCAAAGCTGGCGAGTGTATTTCTGCTTTGAAAATCCTTTTGCTGTTAGGAGGCGTCGTAAAACTATAGTCCCCTCCAGTTTATGTAACAACATCAAGATGCACAACACAAATTGGAGGTGAAGCTCGGCCAAACACATACAGAAAAAGTGTAAACGCCAAAATATTATTATTCTGCCTTATCCTGAGTTTCGCCTGAAAAAAAATTCACCCGAAAATTCGTCATCCGCCCATAGTAAAACCATGGAAACCAAGAGTGAAAAGTGAACCGGTTCGGGGAAAATGAAACTTATGATAAGGCTGATTATGAATATTTCATTCGCAAATGCATAACGAAGCAACGTTGTGGAGCTAAAAAGCAATTCCGAAGGCAATCAATGAAAACATTTCAACAATATATGTACAATACCGAAAGGTTACAGCCCTCAACGTTGTTTACAAATAATTGATGATGAAAAAATGGTCTCCTCAACCATCATAAATATATATACATACATTTCTTTGCACATACCGCTGCATGTCAGTCGCATAGAAACTTTGTTGCACATTTCGATTCAGGCCTTACGAATTCAGGCATACTGCAATGCAAGAGTTGATAGAGTTGATAGTACTACATGCATACATATTTGTGGCCACCTAATAGGTTCGTTCGCGTAGCTGTTAATTGTTCATGTTTAACCAAAACTTACAAGTTTTTGCGTTCGCGTACGCAAAAAACTTGCAAAGTAGGGGAAATTGAGAGAGCAAAGTGACATTTCATTTTGAGGGGAAGCTGCTGGTTTCTGCTGGAAAAATTTTTGCCAACAGCAATTTGCCAACAGGGAAACAGCTGATCAAAAACAACTGGTTGGCATTTACGCAAATCACAAAATTGAATTTGATGGTTTGGAAGATAAAAATTACAAAATGCGACTAATTAAACTTGTAAGAAATAAGTAGTCATTTGTTTAATCAATAAACTGTGCCAGGATACCACTTTGTAATGAGTTTTCGTACGTTTTAAATTTTACACTTTTGAATGTAAACAAAAATTATATCAGCTGTTCGTCTAACTTGCAAGTTTCTGCAAATTTTCTGTTCGCGTACTATTTTGGATATTTCTCTCTTGTGAGCGAACAGATGACATTTCGCCGGAATTTGGCAGTTGGTTGGTTTCTGTTGGAGATTTTAAACGAACGCACCTAATAGCAATAAGCCTACATTGTGCTGCGCCATTGAGCCAGAAAATGTATATATATATATATGTATGTATAAGTTTCGTCTTCTTCATTGTTTTGCCCATACTGTTTAGTTGAGGCTAAATAAGTCCCGTTCAAAATGTCCCCAAACGGTCAACAAAACTAATTCAGTTCATATCAAATTTGTCGTTGGATTTCCAATTGTAATCGTTGGCATGTGTGTGTCAATTTGTATTTATATTTTTTGCTATTTTGCAATTTGTGATAGCCGAACGTCAACAGAAAATATGAACAAATAAAAAGCAAATAGAAAAAAAAATCGGGCAAATTGTTGACGCCATTGACAATAGTTGGCCACAGGTTGATTGCTCAATTATTTGTATATTGTGTATTAATATGTTGACATGTTCATGAATGTTTGTATGCATTTAGTTATGTACATTTATATCTTATAGAAATAGATATACATACATAAGTATATGCAAATACATATGCTCATTAGGGTGGAGCGGAAAAAATTTTGCTTTTAGAAATCGGTTTATATTTTCTTACTCCCCTTTTTGATTAAAATTTTTTAAATCCTACAAATTTTTTTCATTTTTAGAAAACTTCTAAGTATGCAGTTTTGTGGGCCATTAAATTTTAGTATGTTAAAGTGCAAGTCTGATTTAGATAAGATTTCTTTACCCTTGATTTAAAAAAATCTTTTTGTTAAAGGTGTTGCTTATTTTCTCCATACAAAAACATTGTCGAACATATTGGTATGGAATGAAATGCGTAACAAAAAAAAAAATTTCCAAAAATCAGCGGTATTTGCTAGCTACTTTAAACTTGCACTTTTATGCTAAATTTTAATGGCCTTAAAACTGTATACCAAAAATTTTTGTAAAATAATATAAAAAAATAAAAAAGGGGAGACAAAATATATTAACCGATTTTAGAAAATTGTTAAAGGTATTATATTGACGTCCAAAAGCAACAACGATCCATCGCTATTGAAATTTTGAAACGCAAAAATTTTTACGCACCACCCTAATTTCAAGAAAAAAAAGGTTAAAGTTACCGCATTTCTATTTTCTCGGATAGCTAGGTAGCAATCAAGGCACTTGGCTCTCTGCCGCCTCCGAACAGCGATTGTATTTTTATGAAAAGCTGTTTTTCATGGCAGAAATACACTCGGAGGTTTGGGATAGCCTGCCGAGGGGTAGCCTTATTAGAAAAAAAAACTGGCTGAACTGCTGACCACTACACCACAGCGTGCGGAGGAGAGCTCGGCCAATCACTAACATATTGTGAAAGTGCCAAATTATTATATTATTATCAACTTCTTAGGTTCTTGAACTCTACGGCCTGGATTGGAGAGAAATAACCGATTTCTGTAATTTTAGTGTTGTCTTTCTTTTCAGGTTAAATTGCGAAAAGTAATTTTAAAACGATCTGCATAAGTACTAATTGGAGTTATTAAACTCGCCACTTAAACCAACCTATCTTGAAATAATATGTGATGAGCTAAAAACTTTATAAGGATGTGGTCCAAAGTTGACAATGACTCTTGTGTGCGGTACTGCGTCCATTTGAACAGGCAAATAGTAAAAGTATTTGCGGATACGAAAATCTAAATTAAACTTTCGGCGGGCCAAAATGTAAAAATCTGCCTAAAAAAAAAAAAAATTGCCTGCAAAAATACAGCAAAGCAGTGCTTGGTGTTTTCTGACAATTCATACTCAAAAATTTTAAAAATTTGCTGTACAGTGTCGATGCGCCAAGCTAACAACACC